ATTTACTAATGCTCATACTTTGGATTCTCATTATTATTTATATAGTTGAAGGAATATCCAGTTGAGGCATGCAAATTGAAGCTTTCAGTATTGGATTTGTCTAATAATTCACTATCTAGCCTCCCCCCTGAGATTGGTAAGGTTAGCATTTTATTGTTATTTATTTATTTATTTGACTTTTTTATTGGAAAAGATATACTTTTATGAATTAATAATATTATTCTTTAATGTCTTTTAAGGTTTGATGACAACTTTGAGGAGGCTTGTACTCACTGGCAATCCTATAAGAACTCTAAGAAGGTTTTAAAAAACACCTCCATTTTATTTATTTGATCCAAATTTATATTCTTCAAGAAAGTTGCTTAACAAGTTTCATCTTTTTTTATTTTTTTATTTTTTTTATTTAGCTCACTGGTCACGGGACCCACTCCTGCATTGTTAAGGTTCCTGCGAAGTAGACTTCCTGCTGAAGAAGGTATTGAACTTTATTTTTTTAATTTATAGATTTTATAAGTTTGAATGATAATAATTTATGATGTAATTGTCTCATATGATATAATTCATAAAGTTTTTGTAATAAAAAGGTTGTGAGTCAAATTTGTCAAAAAATATTTAATATAATTAAAAATGATGCAGAAAGTGGAACAACATCTGAGAGCAAAGAAAAAGTTATTGTTATGGCCTCTCGTTTATCTCTTGCTTCAAAGGTTATATATATTTTTTTACTTTTTTCATCCAAATAGATTATTTATTAAAGAACTTGAATAATTTTGTACAAAATGTGAAAATATAATTTAAAAAAAAAAAATCATTTTCAGGAACTTTCTTTAGGAGGGCATGGGTTGAGTGTTGTTCCACCACAAGTATGGGAAACAAGTGATATAACAAAAGTTGATCTTTCAAGAAACACAATTGAAGATCTACCTGTTGAACTTTCTTCATGTGCTTCCCTTGAGGTTAAAATCGTCCACTTTTTAATCCAAATATGAAAAATATCAGTGGCATTTTGGTAATTAATTATTAAAGGGTTATTTGTTTTTGCAGACTTTGATTTTATCAAGGAACAAGATTAAAGTGTGGCCAAGTGCAATCTTGAAGTCACTTCAACATCTGGTGTGTTTAAAACTTGACACTAATCCACTTAAACAGGTATATTGAACTTTTTAAAAGGGTATATTGGTCATTTTTCATATGTTGTTATCTCATTCTTTTTCATTTGTAGATTCCATCAGATGGGTTTGAAGCTGCTTCCAATCTTCAGATATTGGATCTAAGTGGTAATGCAGGTTGTTTACCTGAATACCCTGCATTTTCTTCATTGATGCAGTTACAGGAGCTATATCTGAGGTGACTTTTTTTTTTTTAAATATTATTTTAATTAGAATGATTTTTGTTTTATTAAGTTTTACTTTCTGTTGAACAGGAGGATGCGGATTCCAGAAGTGAGGGTGGATATTATAAGTTTGCCTAAATTAAGGATTCTTGATATGAGTCAAAATTCCATTCAATCGATTCCAGAGGTAATATTTTCATTTTCATCAACCACTTATTTATCTATTGTAATATTACTTTCTACCACCTCATTTTAATAAAAATTTCATTTTACCCCCCTTGATGTTTTTTGTAGGGTTTTAAAAATGCGACATCTCTTCATGAGCTTCGGTTTTCAGACAATAACATTAGTGCACTTCCTGCTGAATTGGTTTGTTACTCTCCCCCATTCTTGTTGTTAACAACAATGATACATAAAAAATGTTTTATTTTAAATGTATATATTAATAATAATTTTAATATATTTATGATAATTGGAATATTATATTGGAATCTGGTTTTTGCAGGGTTTACTGGAGCCCACTCTTCAAGTGCTACAGCTTGATGGAAACCCTTTGAGAAGGTATGTATGATTGAAATATATATATATATATATATATATATATATTGACTTTTTACTGTTTTTGTAGTATACGAAGAACAATTCTTGATCGAGGAACCAAAGCTATATTGAGCTACCTCAAAGACAGATTACCCAATCAGTAAAACATGTTTTAAGAAAAAGAAAAAATTCTATTCAAGACAAATGTTTGTGAGAAAATGTGTGTTGTATGTGTTTCTATTTGTTTTCCTTTGATTTTGAAGTTAATGTTATATTCTAAACTTGGTTGTTGATATGTACTTGTATGAGAAAATGCTAGAATGGAGGAGGGAATGGAATGGAGGATTCCATTCCGGTCCAAAAAAGTTGTTTGGTTGTCTTTATGGGAAGGAATAATACATTGTTTGAGAATGAGATTCCTTTTAAATCCCGTGTTTTATTTTTTATTCCAACAATCCTTAATATATAAAGTATATTTTTTTCGTTTGTTTCCTCCATTAATAATTGACTAATATACTATATATATATATATATATATATATATATATATATATATATATATATATATATATATATATATATATATGATTGTTTTTGTCATTTATCTCTGGGAGACGCTGATATATTTTAATAAAACAATTTAGTAAGGTGTGTTATTAATTATTATGTAGATTTACCTTCACATAGTTTGTTTTTATATGAAATTAATATTTATTTAATATGTATATTTTTTATATAAGATATACTTTTTTAGTAGATAATATTGTAAAAAAAATATAAATTATATGCACTTTTTGTTATGAAGTATTTTTGGTGTTTTTTTAAATGAGTTCCATGTAGTTTCAGGTAATTTTGTTGTTATCAATAACTATTACATTAAAGCTTCTATATAAGAAAAAAAAAAATACTAAATATAGCTAATTTCCTTATTGCCAAAAAATAGTATTGAAAAAATGGCAAATTGCAAGAAAGTCATTATATACCATAATATTTTGATTTTAACAACATTTTTTTATGCCATTATAATTACAATTTTTTTGTAATATCAACCAAATGACCGGTTCTTCCTGTTCTTCCGGTAGCCATTTTTCCCGAATTGCAATAAAGTTACTAAGTTTATCAAAATTTCGATTTTGACACCGAGTTTCATATTGCAAGAAAGTCATTATATTACCACAAAATTTTGATTTTGGCACCGAGTTTTTTTTTTCTCAATTATGTTATTACATTTATAATTTTGTTGTAATGTCAACCAATTGGCTGATTCTGGAGATGTTATTGTGGTCTAGAAGCTCGATTTGTACAACAAATAAAAAAAGGCCGGTCTAATAGTTCAAACTCACTTACATGTAAACGAAAATGACATAGTGACCATTTCAAAAGATGTTATTGTGGTTTAGAAGTTCGATTTATACAACAAATAAATGAAGACCCCCCTACAAGGTTGATTTAGTGGTTCAAACTCACTAAGCATCTCCTGGATCGACCTTGTAGGGGTCCTCATTTGATTGTTGTAAAATTCGAGCTGCTAAACCACAATAACATCTCTTGAAAGGGTGAGTACACCCTTTTCACCGACTTTTAAGTGAGTTTGAACTACTAGATTGACCTTCAGACCCCATTTGTGAAGAAATACTCTGATGAGAATTAAACATTAAACATTATAATAAAAAGTGCCACCTAAAAGGGTGAGTATGTTATTTTCGTTGACTTTTAAGTGAGTTTGAACATTGGATCGACCTAAAAAGATACATGAAACTGGGTTCGATGCAAACCTTATATTTGAAACTCAATTCTGTCACATAAGATCTAACGTGACTTCCACGTCATAATATTCTCATGTCATTTATTTGATAAACTGCTAGATTGATGGTAACCGGTCAATTGGTTGATATTGCAACAATTTTGGTTGCCACATAACTATATTGTCATGTCATTTATTTAGAAGGTCGATTTGTACAACAAGTAAATGAAGACCTCTATAAGGTCAATTCAGGAGATGCTTAGTGAGTTTGAACCACTAAATTGACCTTGTAGGGGTCTTCATTTATTTGTTGTACAAATCGAGCTTCTAAACCACAATAACATCTCCTGAAAGGGTGACTATGCACTTTTCGCTGACTTGTAAGTAAGTTTGAACCATTTGACCGACCTTTATTTATTTGTTGTACAATTTGAGCTTCTAAACCACAATAACATCTCATGAATCGGTCGATTGGTTGAATTTGCAACAAAATTGTAAATGTAATGATATAAGTGAGAAAAAAACTCGGTATCAAAATTGAAATTTTATGGTAATATAATGACTTTCTTATAATTTGAAACTCGACATTAAAATCGAAATTTTGATAAACTTAGTGACTTTATTGCAATTCAAAAAAAATGGTTACCAAGAGAACATGGAGAACCAATTATTTGATTGATACTACAACAAAATTGTAAATATAATGATATAAATGAAAAAAGAACAAAGTAAAGTATCAAAATCGTAATTTTATAGTAACTAACGACTCTTTTGCATTTTGTGATACAACTAATTCTTCCGATAACTTTTGCTTCAATCTAAGAAGTTGACAACTCTCACCCTCTTCAATTAAATCCTTCATAATAAATCAAAATGATTTTGTCACTTGTCATCTTCTAATGCATTATGCCACATTATTTTTTTTATTTTTATTTTTTTTATTTTTTATTTTTTTTTTCTACATGTTATTTTATAGTTTTTCCATTTATTAAATTCCAAATAGTATTTAAATGTAATAATAAATATATATCAGTTTCATTAATGAACTTTCCTTCTAATTTCAAAATTATTAAATTAAAGCATCATTAGTTTTCTTGATTTATTTATTTAAATTATTTGTTTAAATTTAAAAGAGAAAAAAAAACACTTTAATTTTAATAATTTAATATATTTTTTTATTTTTTCTTATAAATTCAAAATTTTTAAATTTTAAATATTTTTTTAAAATAAACCTGTATATGGATTTCAAAGAAAAAGAAAAACAAAAATTACTTCATCCGATAATCCAGTAGTAAATTGCAGTGAAAAAAAAAAAAAGAATGCTGACAAATTACACGTGGACAACAACAGTCTTTCTTTTCAATTATCATACAACGATTACTATTACAAAATCCAACACCGCTTGTTGTTACCCGAAGCCGCCGCCGTTACCTTCTCCTCGCCGTCACCCGACGTCGCCGTTACCATCTCCTCAACCGGTCCACTCGGAACCGGAATATCTTCTTCATCAGGTGGTTCCAAAACCCAATCTCCATTTCCATCCAGAATCATACCTTTATTCTTCTCAATCCACCATGACCCTGGAACCAGAAACTCATCTTTCAAGAACTCACTCGATTTATTAACCAACGACAAGCTCCGATTCACCTTCAATTCAAACTCACCATCCTCCCCATTCCACCCAGCGACTACGTGCAACATTCCCTGCAAATTATGCCAGTCGCCTGTGTTCGTCGACTCCTTCAAGCTCGAAGACTTTCGTGTATCGATCACGAAATCTACACCGGAGTTCACGTACCCGAGTAACCCACTTGGGTAAAGCGGAATGAGATCGATCTTGTTTTTAATGTGAAGGATTTTGACATTTGAGAACTGGTTTAGACGATCGTTGAATGCTTGGTTGCCGACTTGAGGAGAACCGAAGACGAAGGCGGCAATTGGGACGTCTGTGATTCCGTTTTCTGCTAGATCGAAGGCGGATAAGATCGATAAACTTGCACCCAGGGAGTGTCCGGTGATAATGATGCTAGTTTCTTCGTTTTTGTAGATGCCCACCAAGTGTTTGATAGTTGTCAACACTTGTGTTCTTACGCTTTGTTTTGTGAAAGAGGAATTCGGATCATCTGAGGTGTAAATCGTTAGCCAACCCTGCATTACCCTCGGAATTTCATTGTTGTCACTATCGCTGCTGCTGCTAGTCTCGCCTGAATCTGCCGTCGTCGGAGTAGCACCAAATGTTTTCTGGCGTAATAGAGGTTCAGCAGACTCGCTTTTCGCGCCAAAAACATTAAGCCACTCGAAATCCCGACTTGTGCCTCGCCACACGATGTAGATCTCACGCCGGCCGAGTGTTCGACTCACCTCATCGGTGGTCGTCGCGATGTATCCAATCCAGTTTGACTCTCGATCCCATGACTCGCGAGACAGGGAGTGAACAAAGATGGCTTCAGGGATGGAGACTTTGGCGGTGGCGTAGAGGAAGGCGGCGATTTGGTAGTCGGAAGGAGATGGTCGGAGCATGACTTTCTCGAAGAAGGATTTCTTGCCATAGCGACTGCTGCCGGCGTACTTTGAGTTCTTGTCGTTGTTGAAGGCGTCGTAGGTGGCTTGACAGAAGTCACCGCACCGGAGGATGAGTAACCGGAGAGTGATGTCGAATGGGTCGAGAAGTCCTTCCCAATTGTTGCTTCCGAGGACTTCCGGCCATGGCGCTTTGGATTCGGTGGTGGTGGATTCCATGGCAGTGGTTGCAGTTGCAGGTATGAAATGAATGGTCGTATTGTATGCATGTTTGGTATATAAGATAGGGGATAGGGGATTTTTCATCACGTGACAAATTAATAATTACTCAAATTTGACATAATTAGTTGGTCCCACTTGGTAGGCTTTTGGGTTTGATTTTTGTACAAAAAATCGACATAAGAATAGTTACATAAATGATAAAAATGACACAATGATTCGTTCATTTAAAGCCTACTTTAACAAAATAAATGGGAGTTGATAGAGAGTAAGCGTCAATCTATCTTGAAGAATAATAATCTTGTAACAATAACAAAACTCATACATAAGCAATCATACAAACCCCCTAACTTAATCACGAAAAGGGTATGTAGAAAACTCAAAGCATGGAACACAACTGGTTTTTCCTACGAAATGGAACTTCTGAAATATTTTCGGTTCTTTTCGTGTACAATTGTAATGGAGAAATGAAAACACACTCTTTCTAATGCGGCTCTCTTACATTTTCTCCTTATTTCCTGTCCACTAATGCATTTGCATTTGGAGAAGATCGAAAGAGTTTAAGATGGAAAAGAATTAGATATAAGGTTAAAAAGAAGAAGAGTTATGTGTGAGTAAGGGAAAGATGAGAGGACTTTTGACTGGAATCAAAGATGGATAAAAAATTTCGATGTGGAGAAGGTAAGAGGAATATTTATGAAATGGACCATTCTAAATAAAACCTTGACATTATCATAATCATGAAAATCTTTCGTCCCAATTGCTTATGATTTGAATTCCTTCGAGAAGTTTTTGTTTCAAGAAAACGAAAACTCTAATTAGCAAAATAAAACATGCTGATTTCTAAACATAACCTTCAAGATTAGGGGGGTGTCGAGGTCGGTCCATTCTTGGTGAGATAAATGATGAGGTATTGGTTATACTGTAAAATCCATAATTAAAAAGGACTATATGATTGAATAAAGAGGATGCAGTTTCTTGGGTTGTTTAATAACTCATCAAAAACTATATATTAATATAATATAATATAGGGATAATAACATAAAACCCTTAATATTGCAAGTTTTTGTCGTTTTACACATAGTTGTATTTTAGGTCCATTAATGTCTCAAATTTACATTTTTTTTTTCAAATTTACCATATCGTTTATTAAAGCCCTTATATTTGGCAAAAAATATTCGATTTTATATTTTTTTGGTTCATAAAAGCTCTTAAGTTTGAACGAAAAAATTCATTTTTACCAGATAAAAATACAAAAAGGGTAAAATTGAAAAAAAAAATTGCAAATTTTCGGCATTAAGGCAGGAGGGAGTGGTAACACCCTTCGCACTTTGCCACAATATTTTTTTGAAGCCACATAAGATTTTTTGAAGCCACATAGACTAAAAGAAATGGTAGCACTTAAGTTGTAAAAAGGTAAGGAGTGGGGATTTGTTATTTTAATAAGGTTTAATTTACAAAAAAAAATAAATTAAAAAAAGAAAAAGAAAAAAGCTACAGCCAATAAGAAACCAGCTATGCACTTTATCTCTTCTCTCTCCTATCGCTAGCTCCTTGGCGAGTTGTTGCTGGCGAGTCTTGTAACACAAAGCAAGGAGTGGTGCATGAACTTTGTAACGAGGCTGGTAGCGAGTGGTTTAGCGAACCACTCCTCCAAACCTAATGAACCTAAATACAATTTTAAGTAAAATCAACAAAAACTTACATATTTATGGTTTTTATGACGTTTGGCGTATAATAAATAGAATACAATCTAATATAATTAGACTAAATTATAGACAACGGTCACATGGTTTAGTCAAAATGTAGTTTTAGTCCAACTTTTAATAAGTTGATATGTTGAGACAATTGTCAATTGAGTTCTTTTAGTTTTATTTTTTGTAATTTTGGTCCATGGTCATATGAAATACCTATTTTCCTTTCCATTAATTATTTTCTTTTACTTATTATAATTGTTATATCTTATAATAAAAAAAACTACAAAATATTCTATATAAGATTAGAGTTGTAAAAATTAAATTTTGTTTTCATAATGACACTTGACACCATGCCGATTTTCCTTTTAACCATGATGATGGTAAAGTTAGTGATGAAAAAGTGATTTGGCCAAAAAAATTATTATTGTTTAATAATATAAAATTTAGCTTTCTTATTATAACATTTAATTTGTATTTTTTTTATTTGTTTAACATTTGATGTGGATGCAAAAAGAAAACTAATCACATGTCCACTTCTTTTCTTTTGTAACATCACATGTTCACTTGTTTTGGTTACCTCTTATTTAACTTTTTCTATGTTTTTTTCCCTCCAAAACCATAACATCCATATTCACTTGGTTTTGTTTTGTAACAGAGTGATTTTTGTTTTATATTTGACATCATATCTAAGTATTATATTATGCTGGAAGTCGAGTTTTGTAGCACTAAAATTAAAATAAAGTGAAAAAATGGAAGAAGATGAAAAAGGTAGGGGCAAAAAGGTCATTTTAACGACTTTAACAACTATAAACATACAAACAAAATTTCATTCATTTCACGTCTCAACAATTAAAAACTAGTCGTTCTTCATGGTACTATGTTCAATTGTTGGATCTTCAACAACATTGTTGGTTTGATCATCTTGTAACAACTTGAACCTAAGAACCTTTTGAAGTTGACAAACAGGTTTGACTTGCTTTCTTGTAACCTCATTTGGATTAATTATACATTTTCCTGAAAAAAGGTTTACTTCGGATGATCCCGTTTCTTCATGAACCACAGGCGAAGCATCTACAATACAAACTTTATCGGTACTTTTATTTTGAAGTTTTTATTTTTATTTATTTTTCTATTTTTATCTGTATTCAAAGGCACAAGTCTTAGAAGCTTGAACTTACCGTGTTCGCTGAAAACAAGACATGTTCCAATAGTTTCCTCGTATTCGCCAATCTGCAAAATCCAAAAGCCCACAACATGTAATTAAAAATCACATAACTTGTTTCTTTTTGACTTAATGGATTTAAGAAGAATGTGACTAAATCATGTAAGCTGTATATGAGTTTTTCTGTTTAACTTAATGCAAAAAAAAAAAAAATTAAAAAAAAACGACTTAATACCAGCTTTATTTTGTCATCAATAATTAGGATTGGGTTCAATGTATCCAGGCCCTGCATTTTCAACCAAATGGGTTATCTAAAAAAAAACTAGGGTTTTTATAATACTGAAAGTGTAAATTTTGTAGGCTAAATACGTACAGAGAGAGCATAGGGAGCATTAGGTGGAATGTGAAGTTGCCCAGAAACTGAATCCAAGTCAAGCAGCACATATTCTTCTTCACGAGAGGTTGCCATACACTTAAAAAATCTGCATAAATATATCACAATTTCACAAAACTATATGGTAGCTGAATTCTATAAGGTTTTGACGACGACAAAGATTCACCATTTCTTTAACAGAAAAACTGAACTATGGAGAATTAACAATCCACACTGAATCAATTGTCCTATACACATCAATAAACATAAAAAATAAAAGATTAACAGAAGTTGAAGTAGGAAAGATTAACAATCGAGAAACCTGGAAGTGGGAATTACAAGAAAGTAATCAAAAATGAAAAACAAATGGAACCCAACTCCGAAACTCTCTGTTTTCACTTAAATTGATATACTCAACAATCAGCACAGTAAAATTAATCACATATATACAACATTCAGAGCACTCAATTTTATCAGACACTTAGAAAATGTATTGGAAAAAGAAAACCATAGGCTATTAGGCTCCAGTCGAGAGTCGAGACTGATTGGGGCAAGATCAAAGAGAGAAACGTTCCAGTCGCCTACAGTCAAAATCATCGTTCCAAATTAGGCAGAAAAACAGAGTACCTGATTACGTTCGAGTTCGTGGTGATGGTAGAATCACCGCCAAATAGAGTTCTCTCTAGTTCTGAGGATTAAACACACATAAACATTGGTTAAACTCATAATCTGTTTGTGTGTGGGTTACGACAGTGGTGTTTGAAAGAGGCGATGGAGGGGAGTAGTTGAGCGATGGTCGAAGGCGGCTGGATTACTAACGGGAGTTGGAGCAGTCGATCTCTATAATAGAATAGGGGATGTAAGGTTCAAGGGAGAGGCAGCGGGAGATGAGGGTGCGGAATTGGCAGTTTAGGGACTGAGAGGTGTTGTTGACGTCGACGGAGGCAAGGGCGGCGGTGGAGGTTAGGTCTAGCCAGAGAGAGTAAAGAAGGATGAGCGAGAGAGAAGATGCAGTGGGTATGGCGTATGCATCCGATATATTGGGGTGGAGTGGTGGACCACATCTTTATTTTTTAATTATTAAAAATGACTAATAAATAAATAAAATAGAAAAAATATATATATTAAAAAAAGGGTAAAACGGTCATTTTAAAATTTTTACGAACCAAAACCATAAAAAAATTTGGTTTTTGGACCACTCATGTTTTGATTTTTGGATTGGTTAGAGGGAATATAATAATCATAAAATTCATTAAAATTTAAAACTTTTTCAAACATCCAAAAACCATTATTTATTATAAAATGTCTTCAAAATAGTTTCATATCAGAGTATCCCAGAAATCAAAATCATAAAATGTGAGGAGGTGCACAATTAAGCATTCGCCTTCCCGCGATCATCCGAAGTACCTGAAACAAAATCCAAAACTGTAAGCCCGAAGCTTAGTGAGTTCCCCCAAAATACCAACGTCATACAAACCATAACCATAACATAACAAACAACATGCATACAAAGTCTACAGTATGACTGGACCACCCTCACCGGGCCTTCAGTCTGTCTGTCTGGCCCACTCTCAGAACCTTCAACATGTCTGGTCCGCCCTACCGGGCCTTCAGCCTGGACCGTTCTCCGGGCCTTCAGCCTGACTGATATGCCCCATTGGGCCTGCAGTCTATTCGGGCCGCCCTGGGTATGTTGGCCTACAGCACAAAGTAGGTCCGCCTCAATCCACTCCCAAGCATACAATCAACACATAAATAACAAATGTTAGCATATACAAGCAGTCAGACCAATCTAACAAATCACTAATCATAGCATCATCCTATATACCAGGATACCGACCTAACAGGTCACTAAGCATATCATCATGCGATAACCGGGATAACAAGACATGTTCCAACAGTTTCCTCGTATTCGCCAATCTGCAAAATCCAAAAGCCCACAACATGTAATTAAAAATCACACAACTTGTTTCTTTTTGACTTAATGGACTTAAGATGAATGTGACAAAATCATGTAAGTTGTATATAAGTGTTTCTATTTAACTTAATGCAAAAAAAAAAAACGACTTAATACTAGCTTTATTTTGTCATCAATAATTAGGATCGGGTTCAATGTATCCAGGCCCTGCATTTTCAACCAAATGGGTTATTTTAAAAAAAAAAGTAGGGTTTTTATAATACTGAAAGTGTAAATTTTATAGTCTAAAGTACATACTGAGAGAACATAGGGAGCATTAGGTGGAATGTGAAGTTGCCCAGAAATTGAATCCAAGTCAAGCAGCACATATTCTTCTTCATGAGAGGTTGCCATACACTTGAAAATATGTATCAAAATTTCACAACCACTATATGTAGCTGAATTCTATAAAGGTAATGCATCTAACTAGATATAATTCCCGCACTAATTGAAACAATGTGTTTCTAAACAAGACAATCACTTCAGTTTCAAAGGAGGCAGAAATCAATCAACCATCTTTAAGGTGTTGACAACGACATTGGTCACCAACAAAGATTCACCATTTCATTAACATAAAAACTGAACTATCGAAAATTAACAATCCACACTGAACCAATTGTCGGATACAAATCAATAAACATAATAAATAAAAGATAGCAGAAGTTGAAGTAGGAAAGATGAAAAATCGAGAAACCTGATTACGCCGTTGATGAGTAAGAACCAACAGATTGAATATCTGAGATCAGACTCCAAATTTAGAAACTACCGAGAAGTGGGAATTACAAGAAAGTAATCAAAGATGAAAAACAAATGGAACCTCTCTCCGTTTCTCTTGAATGGATTTTTCAGTACGGATATTAGCGTATCGGGGATAGATTTTGTGCCGTACAGGGACGAACGGGGACGGCGTCAGGGGTGGTTTTTGTGTCGCCGTTGCCGGTGACGAAGAGAGAGAGGAGCGGGGCGTTGTTTTCCGACGATGAAGATGGTGGGAAGGGTTTTGTGCGAGAGGAAAAGAGAAGAGAGATTATTTTTGAAAAAAAAGGGTTTTGATTAAGCCTGTTTTTTCATTTAACGTTTGTTTCTTTGAGGATATTGATATTAAAAAAAAAAGAAGGGGGAAATGACCTTTTAGGGTAATAAAGTCTTCTACAAGTATTCTTTTTTTTTTACACCATTGATCTTGTTGTAGATGTTCAAAAGATATCATTATTACCGGGTATTGAAGGTTTCTGACGAGTATGTCACTCCGGTTGTCTTCTCCGACGAGTTTCCGACCAAATGCTTTTAGCAACAATTTCCGATCTACAAACGATTTCTAGAACACTCACTTCCATTTGTTCGTTTGTTTCTGTGAACGATTTTAGTTTTCATGTTCTTTGTTCATGTTTAATTTTTGGGTTCATGTTCAAGAACACACAAAAAATGATTGTGTGTGCTCATCAGTGAGTTTGAATGTCAAGAAAGCGAAGGATTGAAAGTGTGTGTCGGATCTGAGAGGTGTTCATCTTCATCGTGTCCAACAAAACCCATAAATCAAAATTCTCAAGTTCAATAAATCGATTTGTCTCAGCAATGTTTATGTGTTCTTCATATTCACCTGTTCAGAAACACTTTGGTTTGCACACAAATCTTCAAAGATCCCAACGATTTCAGATCAAAAAAATGATTTCAAGAAAACACACACTTACATCTAGTTCATCTGAAATCAAGCAAAATATGGCATCTTGTTCGTGTTTTTCAAGAACAAACCCAGAAATCGACGAGTATGTGTGTGTGTGTGTGTTTATAAGTCTTCGAACTTCAAGAATACCCACCAAAAAGCTACATAGATCGAACGGTTTCTTATTGTTCTTGAAAACCCAGAAATGCAACCCTTGAAATCGAAGGTTTCAGTTCTTTGGGTTTGAGTTCCAGAAATAAAAATAGATGCAGAGCTTCAGGTTTTGGGTTTGAAATCGATTAACACAACACATTTGGAATCATTTTCTGGGTAAGAGCTTCAAGAAATTAAGATCTTCATTTCTTCAGTTCTTGAGTCGTGAGTTCCATAAATAAATGAACCCTAGATTTTAGGGATTTTGATTTTCAAGTTTTGGGTTTGAATCTAGATTCTTGTGAGTTCTTCAACCCTTGGTTTTGAAATCGATTTTAAGAAGCACACCACAAAAAAATCTAGATTTTAGATTTGTGTATATGTGTGTTTGTTCAAATTGCCCAGAAAATTCATAGTGTTCATCGAAAATTTTATGTTTGGCCGGAAAATTCATAGGCTTAACGGAAAATTAATTTTGACCGGCTAAACTTCTGTTAGCCGGTTATAATGGTATATTAAGACGACAACAACGAGTTAAATGGTAAATGGAATACAAAAAAAAAAGTGACCAAATGAATACTTGTTGAAGACTTTATTACCTTAAAAGGTCATTTTCCCTAAAAAAAACTGAGTGTTATTTCATTTTTGACATAATAAATCGATATACTTTGACGAATTATAAAAATAATTACCAATTTTGTAAATTGATTAATTAATTTTTTTGGAAATACATTCTCTAATCACAACACAAAATCAACTAAGGGCGTGTTCGGCAAAACTAGCTGGTAGCGGATAGCTTGTAGCATGTAGCGGGTAGCTTGTAGCTTGTAGCGTTTTGTTAAACGCTACATGAAGTAGCATTTGGATTTGGAGCGTTTTGATTAAACTAAACGCTAGAAGCTTGTAGTACCAAACAAGGCTTTTTGTTTTAAACGGAGCGTTTTGTCACCAACAAAGATTCACCATTTCATTAACATAAAAACTGAACTATCGAAAATTAACAATCCACACTGAACCAATTGTCGGATACAAATCAATAAACATAATAAATAAAAGATAGCAGAAGTTGAAGTAGGAAAGATGAAAAATCGAGAAACCTGATTACGCCGTTGATGAGTAAGAACCAACAGATTGAATATCTGAGATCAGACTCCAAATTTAGAAACTACCGAGAAGTGGGAATTACAAGAAAGTAATCAAAGATGAAAAACAAATGGAACCTCTCTCCGTTTCTCTTGAATGGATTTTTCAGTACGGATATTAGCGTATCGGGGATAGATTTTGTGCCGTACAGGGACGAACGGGGACGGCGTCAGGGGTGGTTTTTGTGTCGCCGTTGCCGGTGACGAAGAGAGAGAGGAGCGGGGCGTTGTTTTCCGACGATGAAGATGGTGGGAAGGGTTTTGTGCGAGAGGAAAAGAGAAGAGGGATTATTTTTGAAAAAAAAGGGTTTTGATTAAGCCTGTTTTTTCATTTAACGTTTGTTTCTTTGAGGATATTGATATTAAAAAAGAAGGGGAAATGACCTTTTAGGGTAATAAAGTCTTCTACAAGTATTCTTTTTTTTTTTACACCATTGATCTTGTTGTAGATGTTCAAAAGATATCATTATTACCGGGTATTGAAGGTTTCTGACGAGTATGTCACTCCGGTTGTCTTCTCCGACGAGTTTCCGACCAAATGCTTTTAGCAACAATTTCCGATCTACAAACGATTTCTAGAACAATTTCAGGTTGTCTTCCATTTGTTCGTTTGTTTCTGTGAACGATTTTAGTTTTCATGTTCTTTGTTCATGTTTAATTTTTGGGTTCATGTTCAAGAACACACAAAAAATGATTGTGTGTGCTCATCAGTGAGTTTGAATGTCAAGAAAGCGAAGGATTGAAAGTGTGTGTCGGATCTGAGAGGTGTTCATCTTCATCGTGTCCAACAAAACCCATAAATCAAAATTCTCAAGTTCAATAAATCGATTTGTCTCAGCAATGTTTATGTGTTCTTCATATTCACCTGTTCAGAAACACTTTGGTTTGCACACAAATCTTCAAAGATCCCAACGATTTCAGATCAAAAAAATGATTTCAAGAAAACACACACTTACATCTAGTTCATCTGAAATCAAGCAAAATATGGCATCTTGTTCGTGTTTTTCAAGAGCAAACCCAGAAATCGACGAGTATGTGTGTGTGTGTGTGTGTTTATAAGTCTTCGAACTTCAAGAATACCCACCAAAAAGCTACATAGATCGAACGGTTTCTTATTGTTCTTGAAAACCCAGAAATGCAACCCTTGAAATCGAAGGTTTCAGTTCTTTGGGTTTGAGTTCCAGAAATAAAAATAGATGCAGAGCTTCAGGTTTTGGGTTTGAAATCGATTAACACAACACATTTGGAATCATTTTCTGGGTAAGAGCTTCAAGAAATTAAGATCTTCATTTCTTCGGTTCTTGAGTCGTGAGTTCCAGAAATAAATGAACCCTAGATTTTAGGGATTTTGATTTTCAAGTTTTGGGTTTGAATCTAGATTCTTGTGAGTTCTTCAACCCTTGGTTTTGAAATCGATTTTAAGAAGCACACCACAAAAAAATCTAGATTTTAGATTTGTGTATATGTGTGTTTGTTCAAATTGCCCAGAAAATTCATAGTGTTCATCGAAAATTTTATGTTTGGCCGGAAAATTCATAGGCTTAACGGAAAATTAATTTTGACCGGCTAAACTTCTGTTAGCCGGTTATAATGGTATATTAAGACGACAACAACGAGTTAAATGGTAAATGGAATACAAAAAAAAAAAAAAGTGACCAAATGAATACTTGTTGAAGACTTTATTACCTTAAAAGGTCATTTTCCCTAAAAAAAACTGAGTGTTATTTCATTTTTGACATAATAAATCGATATACTTTGACGAATTATAAAAATAATTACCAATTTTGTAAATTGATTAATTAATTTTTTTTGGAAATACATTCTCTAATCACAACACAAAATCAACTAAGGGCGTGTTCGGCAAAACTAGCTGGTAGCGGATAGCTTGTAGCATGTAGCGGGTAGCTTGTAGCTTGTAGCGTTTTGTTAAACGCTACATGAAGTAGCATTTGGATTTGGAGCGTTTTGATTAAACTAAACGCTAGAAGCTTGTAGTACCAAACAAGGCTTTTTGTTTTAAACGGAGCGTTTTGTCACCAACAAAGATTCACCATTTCATTAACATAAAAACTGAACTATCGAAAATTAACAATCCACACTGAACCAATTGTCGGATACAAATCAATAAACATAATAAATAAAAGATAGCAGAAGTTGAAGTAGGAAAGATGAAAAATCGAGAAACCTGATTACGCCGTTGATGAGTAAGAACCAACAGATTGAATATCTGAGATCATACTCCAAATTTAGAAACTACCGAGAAGTGGGAATTACAAGAAAGTAATCAAAGATGAAAAACAAATGGAACCTCTCTCCGTTTCTCTTGAATGGATTTTTCAGTACGGATATTAGCGTATCGGGGATAGATTTTGTGCCGTACAGG